TTGCAGTGAGCCGAGATTGCCCCACTGCACTCCAGCCTGAGGGGACAGAGCAAGAGGCTGAGGAAAAAAAAAAAAAAAAAAAAGAGTTAGAGACCAGCCTAGGCAAAATGGTGGTACCTTGTCTCTCCAAAAAAAAAAAAAAGCATTAGCCGGGCATGGTGGCCCAGGCCTGTAGTACTAGCTCCTTGGGAGGCTTGGGCAGGAGGATCTCTTGAGCCTAGGAGTTCAAGGGTGCAGTGAGTTGTGTTCATACCACTGCCCTCCAGACTGGGCCACAGAGCAAAACATGACTTTTTTTTTTTTTTTTTTAAAGAATGATTTTATTCTATTTCACATCATCTCTGGTAGTTGCTCAGTACCACCTCTACCCAGAGAATTCCAGCCTTGAAGGAGGCAACTTGCCAACTTGCCTTCCATTCCTTAGACCCTCAGCACAAAAAAGCCTTAGAGCCAGTCACATTTCTGTCCTTTCCTCAGATGGGGAAACTGAGGCCCCAGGAAGGATGGTGACTAGCCTGGATTCTGAGTGGCAGTGCCAAGACTAGATTTTCTCCTGTTGATGCTAGGTTCTGCATCCATGAGTCTGGAGCAGTCCAGAGGAGCCTGAGACTGGAGAGCCACTCACTGCTGCTGGGCCCTTCTGGCTTCCCCCTCTACAAGGCCAAAGCAAAGGGATGGGGATGCCTGTCTTACCTGCCTACACACCAGTTTGGGCCTGAGGCATCAGAACTTTGGTTCCCAGCGGGAAGGAAGGAGATGCCCCTGCTGCCTTTAGAAGAGATTTCCTGCCCAGGTTCAGACTAACTCTTGTCTGTCAGGCTTGAAGTCTCACTTTGGCTTTAAACTTTCCCCCGTGACTTGCAGAATGCATGACTTACTGCCTTTCTGATCCTTCCCATCAGGCCAGCCAATAGAATGTGGGGAGGCAGCCGTGGGGAATGGGGGGAACTGTGAGGACAAGATGCAGTTGTTACCAAGGATGCCAAGCAGCCTAGCCCAAGGCAGTTCTTGGATTTCCCTCCTGCTTGCTTTTCGTCAGCATCCTCTGGTATCCTTAGAGTCCTGCTCTGACTGCAGCCCATAATTCTTTGGAACTAAGTTACTACTTTGTGTCTAGCAGACCCTGGAAAAGATGCCTTCAGGGTCTCTGCTAGCTGTGTCCTGTCACTTCCCACCCAGTCTATTTTTTTTTTTTTTTTGAATTACAAAGCTACTTTTAATACTTTGGGGTGAGCCCCACAGGAATAAAAAACACTGGGAAGAGGTAACCCCCTCACCCCAGGCAGTGGCCCAGGGGGAGAGAGGCTACCTGAGGGGAATGAAGCACAAAAGGGACCCGCTGCAGACTCAGGGCAAAGGGAATGCCATCGGTGCTGGGACCTGTGAGCACTACAGGAGGAAACGCGAGCGTGGTGGGACTGGCTCCAGGCACACAGGCGAAGGGCAAGAGGGTTGGACACGAAGCCACAAAGCTACTTGGGTTCCTCCTCCTTCTCGTTTGCCTTTTTCTGCTTCTGCTGCATGATCTCCGAGTCCCTCTGCTTGCGGGCGGCAGCAGAAAGCCCGTCATCTTGGCGCTTTCCCTTAACCGAGTCGCTCTGCTTTTTCATATTCTTCTGGCGGGCGAGCTCACGCTGGTTACCGCGGGTCATGGCGACGGCAGCGGCTCCCCACCCAGTCTATTACATGGGTCCTTCTGCCCTTTGCTCCCACCTGCCTGACTTGCCAGCCTTCTCTGTACCATACAAAGAGCCTAAGGGCTTCTTTGAGGTTTTCCAGGCCAGCTCCCTTCTGGTCTGGCTTCATAAAGGACTTGGATCACTGCCCTAAGTTATCTCTACCCAGCTTCTCCATCCCCCTCTTCCTCATCTGTATTTGTGTGCCTTCCCTTTACTCGGCAGTGTATTCCTTGAAACCTGTACGTATACCTGCTGCTTGGTGGGGACTGTGCCTTCAAAAGCCCTCTGGCCTCTACGTTGTCTGCATCCTGAAATGAGCAGAAATCGCCAGGTGACTGCTCATGGTTGTGGAGTGGGCCTGGGTTCCCCACCCTGGCTCTGCCACTCAGTTTCAGCATCCCTGTCTGTACAGTAAGAAAATAGGGTAGCTCTGGCTCTCTTTCTCTCCAGCCCCTCTACAGGCCTGGACCAGGGATCCTTCCTGTGTTGGGACCCACCAGTGGGGCCGTTGGTCCTCTGGCAAATGAAGTAGATGGCCCCAGAGAACCTGTGGGTCCAAGTGGAGTGAGGTGAGGCTGCTTCGTTCAGCTGAGAGTGAGCCCTGGGATCTTTCCCCTAGGGTAGTATAGCCTATCCTTGGGAGTTTCCAAACAAAAGTGTTTCCATTCCTTACTCCTAAATGTGGACTTGAGGAGGGTCTTTGAAAGTCAGCTAGACCGATCTCTAGTTGAACCTCAAGGACTGAGGTTCGGAGCAGAGACTGCTGGCTCCCACTTTGCCTGGCCAGAGAATTGGTCTGATGGTGCCCACACCTTCACCAGAGGCCCTTTGGTGACCCCATGCATGTTTCCTTTGCAGGACAAGATTAGATGCACCCCGGTTGGAAACAAAGTCCCTGAGCAGCTCCGTGTTACCACCCAGCTATGCTTCAGATCGTCTGTCAGGAAACAACAGGGACCCTGCTCTGAAACCCAAGCGGTCCCACCGCAAGGCAGACCCTGATGCTGCCCACAGGTACTAAGCTTAGGATCCGCAGCAAAGGCCAGCAAAGGCTTGGCTGCAGGGTGAGATGGATGGAGAAGCCTGGGGTAGGCTGTTTATGAGCCTTGGTTTGCTCACTCTTTCAAAATCTTATGTCTGGTTCCTCTGGGTTGGTGGCATTGGTGACATTCCCACCTAACCCTGGCCAACTGCCTGTACCCCCAGAGAGAAGGGGTCAGGCAGAGACTGTAACAAATGGGAATATCATGGCTTTCCCATGACTTTCCTTGTTCGGTTCCACCCAGACAGACGTCCTTGTGGAATTATTTTAGGTGTCAGGAGGGAATCTTGGGACTTGGATAATAGTGAACCAGGGACTTACTTCAAAAAGGGTTGGATAAAAGGAATTTGAGGAGATCATTTTTTTAAAGGAAAAAAAAATGTTTTGGCCGGGTGTGGTGGCTCACTCCTGTAATCCCAGCACTTTGGGAGGCCAAGGCGGGCAGATTACAAGGTCAGATCAAGATCATCCTGGCTAACACGGTGAAACCCCGTCTCTACTAAAAATACAAAAAAATTAGCCGGGCTTGGTGATGGGCACCTGTAGTCCCAGCTCCTCTGGAGGCTGAGGCAGGAGAATGGCATGAACCTGGGAGGCGGAGCTTGCAGTAAGCCGAGATGGCGCCACTGCACTCCAGCCTGGGCAACACAGTGAGACTCCGTCTCAAAAAAAAAGTTTTAAGTGTTGGGGAAGGTTTCCAAGGAGGTAATGTTTAAGTTGATTCCAGAAGGATAAGGAAGATATGGAAGAGCATTCTAGGCAGGAAATACTGTATGAGCTAAACCCTGAGATACAAAAGAGCTTTGTGGTTTCAGGGGGTAATGGGGTTGGTAAGTGGAGAAGGGAGTGTTGGGAGGCCCAAGAGAGAGAAAGTGGGTAGAGCTGGGAAGTAAAGGTAGATGGCAGAACGATGCAGAGTCTTGAGGCTGTGGTAGGGAAGATCTCTGTCCAGCAGCCCTGGCAGTGTCCCAGGGCACCAGACTCTGAGCCAGGCAGACCCCACAGGGCAATTGGGAAATGTCCCAAAGACTGGGGTGGTCACTGGCAGTTAGTGGACAAGAACCTCTGATACCAGGGCCTCTGCCAGGACTACCCTTCATTGAGGACCGCTGAGCTGGAGTGACCCATCCCAAGGATGAGACCAGGTATAGTGGTAAAGCCAGGCCCCTCCTGACAGCCTCTCAGATAACGCCCTACTTCCCTTTCCTTGCAGGCCACGGATCCTGGAGATGGACAAGGAAGAGAACCGGCGCTCGGTGCTGCTGCCCACACACCGGCGGAGGGGTAGCTTCAGCTCTGAGAACTACTGGCGCAAGTCCTACGAGTCCTCAGAGGACTGCTCCGAGGCAGCAGGCAGCCCTGCCCGAAAGGTGAAGATGCGGCGGCACTGAGGTCTACCCGCCGCCCTCCTGGGAACTCTGGCTCATCCTTACGTAGTTGCCCCTCCTTTTGTTTTGAGGGTTTTGTTTTTGTTTATTGGGGTTTTTTTTTTTTTTTTTTTTTAATTCTATATATTTTTCCTTGGTTTTGTTGCCTGTGAAGGCTGAAGAATAGAATTGGCCAGGACCTGGGTTCTCATATTCTTGGTATTCCTCCTGGATGAAAAGGTTGTTGGCATCTATAGGGGACAGAGACTGATGCTGGAGTGGCCAGTAGAGGTGGTGGAGCAGAGCAGCCATCTTTTAAGTGGGGCTGTATCAGGCTGGGTTTATTTAAAAGCAACAAAATGTTTTGGTTAAGAAAATTATTTTGCTTTCAATGTAAATCTCCGCAGTGTTCTAAACAAAGTTCAGTCTTCTGCCCACCCCTTTTCTCCACTGGATGTCTGTACTTGGTTGAGGTCTCCTGGAGCCTCACAGGCTCTACATGGGGGCTGCTGTTCTCCACTTCTCACCTGCCATCCACGCCCTGCAAGCTCATGCAAACACCCTTTCTTCCTCCTGCGGCAGAGTTGTTCAGGTTGCCTGGGCAGGGGCTTAAACAGTGCCAGCCCCTGCCATCCCAAAGCTATTGTTAAGCCCCCCAGGCTTCCTCCACCCACGCCCACTAGCCTACTCTGTCCACAGTTCCTTGGGCTGCTGAGGGGCTAGTGCAGTGGTCCTGACCTCTCTTATCAAGAGCACACTTTTTTGCTGGTTGCTCCTTTTGAGCATATGCGTGTGATTATTTGGAACAGTTAGACTTGCCACGTTGGGTCAGTTTTAGAAATTGTTTCTAGCTAGAGGGACTGGTGTCCTTCCAAGTCTAGCATTTGGGGTATGGAAAATTGTTGTGGTGTGTGGTAGGGTTTTTGTTTTCTTTTGTTTTGAGTTTTTTCCCCCCTTTAGTCTCCTGGCTTTTTCCTTTCCCCTCCCTTCTCCATTGGCCAGCTTGGGCCTCATCCTCATGTCATCCTTCTAGGAAGGCGCCTGCCCCCTCTTGTCTGCCGGCAGCATGCATCCAAGGCCAGAACTCAGGCCTGCAGACTGGGCTGGTGCTTCCTCCGCTTCAGGGTATGGGAGTTGGTGAAGGGGCTTTCAGAAAAAAAAGGTAAAGTCTTTGGTAGCTTCTACCCACTCAGATCCTGGAAGGCAGAAAGGTTTTGTGGATCTAGATTCATTAGGAATGTCTTCTTGTCAGCCAGGCCAGGACCTGGGCTTGCCAAGAGCCGAGGCCCTCCCAGCAACCAGGATACCACCACTTTGGGGGCTTTGTGTACAGAGGTCTGGGCCTGAGACCTCATAGGCTGCAGAAATCTGGGGCAGCCACCATCAAGAAGCCCCTCTCAGGGGCCAGAACTCCTTTGCCAGCGTGGATTTCTCAAGTCGGGACTGCATAATTAAAGCAGTTGCAGTTTTATTTTTTTTACAGCTTTTTTCCCAAAAATGATTTGTAGTTGTGTGTGCAGCACTTTGCCCTGATATGTGTGCTCTACAATAAAAACCAAATCTAATATATTTTGAAACAGTTGTCTGATGTTGTTGTAAGAGAGGGCTTGCCTTTGGTGCTTCCTTAATCCCTTTACTTTCTTAAACTTGGAACAGGGGTTGGGGAGGCAGAGCTCATTGCCCACCAGCATCCCAGAGGAGTTGATTGGTCATGGACACTGGGCCTCCTGTGTGCCCAGCCTCGGGTTTATGGCTGAAGGTGGACTTGCCCTCTCCCCACTGTTCTTTCTTCCACTCCAAGGAGGGTGAACTTCATAAACCACGGTGTCCAGGTGCCCAGGGACCACACCTTCTGGAGTTCTGGAAGCCCCTCTTTCAGATGTGATCACTGAGAGGCTGGTGTGCTGGTGAAGGGAAATGGCAGGCACAAAAGCAAGGGAGAACCTGGCTTTTGTGGAAAATATGCGAGTGATTTTGCTTATTAAACAAATACTTGGCCAGGCACGGTGGCTCACACCTGTAATCCCAGCACTTTGGGAGGCCAAGACAGGTGAATCACCTGAGTTCAGGAGTCCAAGACCAGCACAGGCAACTTGGCGAAACCCCATCTCTACTAAAAATACAAAAATTTAGCCAGGCACATTAGCATCCGCCTGTGGTCTCAGCTACTAGTGAGACTGAGACAAGAATTGATTGAGCCTAGGAGGCAGAGGTTGCAGTGAGCTGAGATTGTGCCATTGCACTCCTGCCTGGGCAACAAAGCGAGACCTTGTCTCAAAGAAACAAAAAAAAACTTCAGTTCCTATTGTATACCAAGCCACACTGGGACCCCAATAGTGAGCAGAACTCTGGTCCCTCCTTTCAAGATGCTTGTGATAGTGTGGAGTGCAGGTGCTGGCATGAAGCAGATGTTTTTCAGTGGGTAAGGCTGGGCCCCAGAGGGCTTTAGTCCCTCCAGACCTCAGACCTGGCTCCCTATGCCTGGTAAAGGGCTTCTATCTAGAGTCTCTTACTCTGTTCATAGTGCTCAGAACCAGTCTTCTTGGCCAAATTGTTGCTGTGGAAACTGGATAAGCTACTTACCTCCTCATTTACCAGAGAAGAGAAACTCCAGAGTGGGGCAAGTAACTGGCCTCGGCTTAGTCTGAAAACTAGTGTGAGGGTATGAAGAGAGAGGGGTCAGAGTCTCAGTGTGGTCTGTGGCTAGTTGGGCCTGGAGAGGTTAGACGCTGAGCTAGGCAGAGTGGACCTTGTATCCCCTGGAGAAGGAAACACTGGATCTGAGGGAAAGTGACTTGCAGAATGTCATCCAGAGTGTAAGCGGCAGAGGTGGACATCCCCTACTCCATGCCTGAGCTTCTGACTCTTGGGGCATGGGATACGGGCTCAGTGAAGGTTTGGGGGAGTGCGAGGAACCCTCTTTTTTTTGTGGCGGACCCTATTTTTCATTGCCGTTAGAAAGTCAGACTCCTGGCTGGGTGCAGTGGCTCATGCCTGTAATCCCAGCACTGGGAGGCCGAGGTGGGCGGATCACGAGGTCGGGAGTTTGAGACCAGCCTGGCCAACATAGTGGAACCCCGTTTCTACTAAAAATACAAAAAACTAGCTGGGCATAGTGGCGGGCCCCTGTAATCACAGCTACTTGGGAGACTGAGGCAGGAGAATCACTTGAAGTTGGGAGGTGAAGGTTGCAGTGAGCCGAGATCACACCACTGCACTCCAGCCCAGCTGACAGTGCAAGACTCCATCTCAAAAAAAAAAGAAAAATAAAAAAAGACTCCCAGCCTGACCAACATGGTGAAACTCCATCTCTACTAAAAATACAAAAATCAGCTGGGCGTGGTGCCAGGCTCCGGTAATCCCAGCTACTTAGGAGGCTGAGGCAGGAGAATCGCTTGAGCCTGGGAGG